TATTGCTTCTGAAAAGTAGGCTATGTATATGCACGGAAAAGATTGCTCTACGGTAATTTAGAACTTTCAATGCCAGATGCATTTCGTGTCGTTTTGTTTCATCCCAAGCTCATCGCCATTGAAGTTTCAGCAACTCTTGCTTCTTATATGTTTCGGTGTGTAACAGCGAACAAAATGATGTCAAATGAATCCGGTACCGCACGTGTTCAAATATCATGGATCCCTGTTTAAGCTCCACAATTAAGGCCAAGGGTACGTTGCAATACACCGTGAAATCTGGTCTTAGATGATTTATGGATCATTTGACATACTCCGGTATACGAACATATTTTGATGTTTATAAAGTAGTGGTAAATGTAAAGAAATATGTGTGGCGGTTTGTTTAATCTCGGTATATGAAGACCGTTTGATCTGCGATAGAGTCGGGCTGGTGACAGCGACAGAGGCGCCGGTTTTGTAGTGCCACTGATTTGCCACGATGCGCGCTCATGAAAGAATCATTTGCAGCTAATAGCTGATTCGTCGGCTGACCACGACCAGGAAGAAAACGCCCTATTATAAGGAGATTCGTTGGTTTTCTGAAAATAACGAATAATATTTAACGGACCATCCCTGTGTAATGACATGTCGACGACGAAATGTGTGTCTACAGACATAAACCGTTTCATAATAGAGTGGCAGGAGGAAAATATTTTTCTGAGAGTATTGCCACCAAGCCGCCCTTCTGACGATTTGAGGAAGCTACTCCGGTAAGAACTTAGTTCGGTGCCAATATCCCTGTTCATGTGTTGGCAAGACTGAGTTCCAGGGCTTTTTTATTCTTCTGGTGTAAGAAGTTCTTTTCGTGGTGTAGTGTGGATTGGCCTTTCGTGATCTTGCCCCTTCGCTAAATCATGTTTTCTTTTATGTGAACTCTTATTCAGCCTAAGTCGATGGTGCAACACCGTTTTATGCTAAAATGGTACAGTTGGAAGAAAGACGAATTATCCGCGGCTGCTAATGAAGGAATGAAAAATAATCCTCCACGCTGTGGAACCTGCGTATCACAGCATCATAACACAGGATGAGACCAAATGATCGGAACATGTGGCAAAATAATTTTATACGCCAGAAGAAAAACTAAAACGAAACATTTGTAATTCAATTTGACAAACGCATCAGCACGGACGTTGATAGGAAACTGTGTTCTGCTTGAAGCAAGTCAATAACTCAGTCTCAACTATGGTTCTTAGCGTCGTTCAGCTTTGGTTTTGGTGTAGATGCAGCGTGGTGATAATTTTCAGTGCGTAGCATTATTTTTCTTTGATGCCTTTTTCTGAAGAATGATCGAATATTATCTGAAGCGTTGGAGGGCTTTGCACGGTCATTTTACCTGTGAGTGAGGAAATGTTCCATTTTACGACTCCTAGCTCCCACTATCAATCTCTTACTGGTAAAACCTTGTGTGAGGTGTAATAATTGAATTGCTCTGTTTGAGAACGATGAAAGATTCCGCTAATGACTCGCACTTGTCATCTCGGCACAGATGTTCACCGGCTGTCGCTGTGTTGCTCCAGCGTAACTGACGGGAAACGTGAAACAGGTTGTGGTCGCTGGTTTTTCGCGGTCTGCCTCGGTTTTGTAACAGCTTACGCTGCGCTTGCTAACCGGGACGAAGACTGAGCCGGCACAATGTTCCATAGTGGCAATACCTTGAGCAAAGCACGGGGTAGCGTTTTGCAGGAGACATCGTTACCATCTCTACTCCACCGTTTTTCTCATTGCAGCCTGAGTCCCTTTCTCGCTGGTAGAATTGAGGTTCTGTACATAATCAAATCGTTTTGGTTTTGAAGCCACAATTCTTAAAGATTTTTGCATTTTGAACTTGACTCAGGTATAAAATATTCTGCTTCGGTTTTGAGAAAATTGTTTAATTGTGAATTTCAGGTCGATGAGCCATCCCTTTTCGATCACGTTCTTAAAGTTGATTTCTTTCGGAATCGCAGACCGGTATCGAAACATTTTGGATTCGAAAACACCCGAGAGGTTTATCAGCGTCTTTGCTTGGAAAAGGGTCGTTATGTTGTTGTACCGTGTACCATTGAAAAGGACTTGAATTGCAAATTTCTACTTAGAATTTACGCGAACAAGCTTTATGCAAAGTGAATGGTAACTTTAAACGTTAAACCGTAAAATGCATCTTTTAGAAGTGTGGAAGAAGCGACAGTCTTCCCTTCACCTGATCTGGTAAGTGGCTAAGGTTTATTTCGCTGGATATATGTCTGCATATCCTTCATTTAAGCAGGAGCTTCACATTACAAGATTTTGGAATGTATCAGATCTATTCTGTAAATGCAATGACGACAGTCAGAAGGATAGAACATGTCATTCATGTTTGTGATCATCCTTAAAAACGGCATAAAACATCGTATATTAATACATATATTTCTGGCTCCACTTGCTTTCGGATTTCAAACCTACCAACCGTTGCGGGCGCACGAAAAAGTTTCCAAAATTCTACCGTCGACCTACCTTGGGGAATGCTCGTGAGACAGGAGCTGAAACAGCAGCGTAGCACATATTAATGATCTGATCGTGAGGCTGATATTAGGCAGCATTCACTGCTGTAGCAAAAGTCTTATTTTTCTTCGTAAGCAGCTTTGCCTGCCTCAGTGAGGTGTTTCCTAGTTATGGCCATTGTCCCCAAATGCGTCTCCGCCAGTGCAAAAATGGATGGATGTCGCAACAGAGTAAATTGAGTAAAAGACATAAACAACTCGCACAACATCATTAAAACAAAATGATATTCGTGAGTGCAGTCGCATCGCGTTGTATATCAGTCTGAAGATGCTTTGAGAATGCTCGCTTAGGATGGTTTAATTGTCCATTTGCGCACGTTTCATGAATGTGTGGTGGGCAAACGGTTTCTAAGGCACTGTTATAGATCATGTGAAGTGATATTCAGGATGTATTATTCTCCGGTCGGGCTCCATGAGTAATTGCTGAATCTTCAACATATGGTAAGAAGTCGCTTACTCGTAAAACACTTACTTTACACAAATTTAGCAGACCTGTTTATCTCTATGAAGTTATTGACTACTAACCCAAGGAACATTAGCAGTTGCATATGTGAAAGATGAAAACAAGTCCGTTTGGTATTTCTTGTGGACGGTGTGTGTTCAGTCTTTTTACATACTACCTTATCTGGCTTTAATTAATACTGTTGATTCAGTGCATTCATGCCACGGAAAATCAGTGCATATAGCGAATTGATCACATAAATTGTACTGCATCGTGAGGAATCAGAATCAGATCAAAGGAAGAGAGCCATGTAAGTTTCGTGTGTAGTTTTTGGTATTGGCAATGACCAATGCCCACTCATGTGTTTTAGACACTGAATAGAGGCTCATTAAAGAAGAGATACTGTCTAATGAAAGAAATATATTCCAGTCCTCAGGCGACCTTAGAAATTTGTGGTACAGTCTGTTCTCTATGTTCCAGAGTAGCAATGAACAGGCATCTCGATATTGTCAAGCGATAAAAAAAAGTAGTTCGAGTTTAACAGATAATTATATTCCTCCAGGTAGGAGAAAAGAATGAGAGATTACCGGGTTGATTCTCCCTCTAACTTTGCACGACTGCGTTGTTTTCAAAACTTGTTCGTATTTCAAATTTCGATATTCCACTTTCATGATACTGTCGTTTCTGACGCTCTTCTTTTCATTAGTTAATGGTGGAGACGCTGATCTCTGTTTCCGTGAAATCGGACAAGAGTGTCCTATTTTTTTAGATAAAGTCGACAGTAGCCATGTGGCAACGATAGTGTAGTGTCCTGTTTTTTTCTTACACAGTGGCTCTTATTTATTAACGTCGAAAGGACGAAAATTCAGTGACCCTAACCGAGGCTGGAACCCGGGATCTGTTGATTCTGAGTTCAAAGCCTGAGCTAGCCTGCTCTGCAGGATTGTGTAGTAATTCTTTGCTCAGGAATTTGTTGTGATTGACCTTAAAATAAATTGAAGCTCAAAGAAGACAGATTTTGAAGTCGACCTCGTAGGCACTGTGCCACCTCGCCTTAGCTAAAGAATCGCGAAAAACCTGGGAGGTAAAAACAGCATTCAACTTCGTGATCTGAAAGTTGTATCGCAATCACAAAACGAGAAATTGATAAATCGTTTACTGAACTATCGACTTTTAAGCAGGCATGGCTGCGAAACGAAAACGAAGAACATGTCAGGAAAGTAATATCAAGAATCTGCGGCGGAAGCTTCAGAATTGACTCTGTAATTCTGAAGCAGGTCCTGCAGCATTTGCTACGAGGTAAACGGAGATTTCTTTATTCATACACAATATGATGATGTTTCAACATGATTTGAATAATAATTATTTTCACGTGAGTGAGCCGTTCAGCAAAACTGTTTAATTAAAGGAACTGAGAAATGTTCGAAACATAAGGTTTTATGGTACAAGGACTACTGGTAAAAGCCAACGTTTCGAATAGCCACGGTATCCATCATCAGAGCATGAAATTTCAGGGACGCAGGGTACAGTTCTGAGCGATTTTACCCAGTGCATGAACAGAAACTGCTGTAACAGCTGCATGAGATCCACCACGAAAGTTTGACAACATACTAAAGCCTGCCATTCATTGATGAACTTGAGAATCTCTCTCATAACAGGCTGGTGTTCTACTTGCATATTCAAGCTAAAAATACTAATCGCAAACCAGGCCATCAGATTTGGTCTTGATGGAGTTATACGTCATTGAATATACTCCGGCGAACGAATATGCTTCCATGTTTATGAGGCAGCGTATAATGATAACCAGTTCTTGAAATATTGTCCGTAAAGAGGCGAGGTAGCTTTAGCGAAAAAAATAATGCCAGATGCCTCTGGCACGCAAGTGCTCAAATACTATTGGGTCCTGATCTGCTTAAATAGCTCCCTTCCCCTTCCATGGTAAACTATGAGCAGAAGGCGGTGCAATGCGCCGCTGAAATCTGGTCATAAATGAGTTATTATTATCTGCGTATTCAAGCTATCCTAATTACGCGCTCCTTTAGACTTAGAGAAGTAGTTGATTGCAGTCTAGGGGATTTCGAATCTCTGTTGCGAGTAAATATACCGGATATCGATCTCACATTACTACTTTCGTGTACATTGATATCGTAATCTGTAGACGGCTGTGAGTCCTTCATTTCTGTTTTGATGCAATTTGCCAAAAATTATTTATTGCAGTTCTCATTGGTCGATATTTATTTATTTGTGGCTTGATTGTGCACGCTGTGATTTTGTTTCGCCTCTACTGAAAGACATGAGTTTTAGAGGTCTTTCCACGCAGTTTTGTTTTTGACTGCCCTGAAGAAGAGGGATTTTCCTTGGAGCGGTGTCGCATGATTCTGGGAATGTCGACTGACTACCGTTTTAATTGGCTAACGAAAGGCGAGACGGTACGACTTTGCCAGTCGATCGCTCTGTTGT